GAAACCCATGTGCAATGAAACCCATAATACCCTGTGACATGTTGTAGCCAACAGAGCAATTGTGGGCACCTAGATGGGTCCAGATGGGTCAGTTCAAAGAGGTACTTCATGTCTTCAGAAGTGCTTACTAGTTCTGCATTTCTGAAATTGCATTTCAGTCATTGCACTATAGAAGTAGGCTGAGTGATTTCTCTAGACTCCACCCCCACCCCCATTTTACTGCTTTATATATTTTCAATTAGTCAGTTTGTCTGTGTCTTTCTACAAATTTGGCTTTATACTACAGTTACTACCATTTTTGGATTGTTGTTTATTTGTTATAGACACCCTTGAATTTGCTATGTATCTAGACCCCATGTTTCACCAACCGTGAGTGAGATTCGTCTAACCTGTGTCTTTTCTGCCGTGTGTAAGAGAAAGATATCTGTATAAACATAGAGTACTAACTGGTCACCAACTCTAAAAGAAGAATGCTTTCTTAAATTATTATGCAAAAGAACTATATGGCTACCACAGATCTAATCAAATCATGTATAAGAAGATAACGTAATAAAGAATTTAGAAAATTAAGGATGTAACAGATTACCCACTAAAGCACTATTAAAAAATTGATGTCTGGCTCACTCCACAGTTGCCAGGTGAGCCAATATTGCCATGTGTTAAGTCTTGACAGTAAAAAATATCCTTGGGTGGTGAAAATGATTAATATACTTGGATGTTACCTGAAAAGCTAAAGATTCAAGTCCACCCAGTGCTCCTCAGAGGAAAGGCCTGGGTATATGGTTCTGAAATATCAGTCATTGAAAGAAAACCCTCTGGAGCACAATTTTACTCTGATTTACATGGGGGTGACCATGAGTCAGAATCAACTCGATGACAACTGGCTGGATATCTGATAAGGCAGCATATCAGCCACTGTGGAAGACTGCTTTATGCAGAAAGTTCATTCAGAGATGCTAGGTGTCTACCGCATCGTGCTGTTGGTGTTGACTTTGACAACACAGAGGGCTGGTGGCATCTAGAGGGAGGAACGAATTTGCACCTAAAGTGATTCCATGAAAAAGGTGAAACCAAATTCGTTAAAGAGACTAGATTCCAACTGGTCGGTTGGAGACTGATGGGACCTTTAAGATTATGGCCCTTAGTTAACTTGCACGTCTGGAACTGAACTCACTTGCACGTTAGAATAATCATTTCAGATCAAAAGGGTAGCATTTAAGGACAAAGTATAGGGGACTAGGAAAGATGTAGGCATGGAAACAGAATACACAGGAAAGAAGGGGGCTAAGTGATGGTACGTTGTGGGGATGGCAATCAGTGAGATGAAGCAAACTGTGTGTGGACTGTTATATGGAAACTGATGATCTGCTCTGTATACCTTTAGCTACTTCACGATAAAAACTTAGAAAATATATAAAGAGATTCTATAAAGAGAGCCATTCTATCTACATATTCAGGCATTACATGGCATCTCTCACAGTTTTTCTTTTGGGGCTGAGGCTCTAGTACCTTTGGAAGAGGGATGAAAATAGCTTTTTCTTTTCTTCTTGTTCAATTCAATGAAATTTCACTGGGTGCCTACTCTGGACTAGGCCCTGTGGTAGACACTGGGAATTGAAAGGTAAAGATTTGGTTCCTATCATAAGAGCATTTTCACTATCTTTTTATTTTTTGTTTTAATTTTAACAGTTTTATTGACATGGTCCACACATCTTATATATCAGTAGCTGAAACATATTTAAAAGATTTGTGCACTCATAACAATCAATTTTAGAACATTTTCTTCTTTCTTGAACTTACTAATTTTAGCTCTCCATCCCCCACACCCAAACTCTCTCTGCCATAACCCCAAGAAACGATTAATCCAGTTATTGTCTGTAGATTTACTTATACTGGATTTCTTTTTTATTAATCATTTTATTAGGGGCTCACACAACTCTTATCACAATCCATACATACATAAATTGTGAAAAGAACATTTGTACATTCATTACTCTCATCATTCTCAAAACATTTGCTCTCCACTTAA